GGCTGGGCCCTGCTAACTCACCCAGATCGTTTTAACCGGTTAATAAAGCAACTGACACTCAACAAAACCGCCGGCGCCGCGGGAGTCCTTGGCAATAAAGTGAGAATCACAACTACCGGTTTGTTGTCGTTGTTAACTGCCTTTATTACCATTACTAAAGAAAGAAAGAACGGAACAAGGAACAGGGCTGAAGAAGAGAGAATCCTTTCAGACCCAAAGGCACAGAAAGGAGACCCCTTCTCTTTTTCTCTGAAACCAGAGCCCCGGTTTTTCTGGATTCGCCCTCAGTGAGCCACCACCAATAACGCCCGGAGAGAGACACAGGAGCTCTGGGCACCGCGTTCGGGGTGGAGTATAAATGGTTAATGGCGACTCCCTTAAAACGCATAAAATTTTATCTGACTCTTGGCCCTGATTTAAGGTACGGATGCTTTATATGGTAGTGCTCTATCTACAGGATCAGGCGACACAGAAAGAGTGAAAATAAGGAGAATGAGATATAGTCTATACCTGTTTCCTGAGGTGAATAAAATACATTCATTCCCCCCCCCACCCCGTGCCAAATTATGTGCGAGGGATATTAGAAAATATAAATCGTCCAGTTATGTAATTTTCCTATCAGAACACCTGACTTAAGGAAACTGGCATCCCCAACTGTGATTCTGCTCTTGTAGACCGATTCCGATGCCCACTACACACAACAATTCCCGGGAGTGAGTGCCCAAGCCACGCCATGGATCAGGGAAAGCTGACCAAAGCCCCTCTCATCCCCTTCTTGGTTCGAGGAGGTAGGAAAAGCGCTGTCCCACACTGTACATTTCCCACGGAACCAACTAAAAATCCCCTTCTATCTGCCAGCGGTTGTTGGGGGAGGAATTAAACCCTGAATGTGTAATGCTCCTTTGCAATTGCAATCAAAATCTATTTAGATGTTTTGAAAAGTATGAGAACATGGTGTTTGTTCAGGGACCTGCATCTAGCATTAAGTTTGATGTGGAATTTTTCCATTTTAAGTAAAGCAGAGAAAGAAAGCAGCAACAACACACACACACACACACACACACACACACACACACACACAAAATCCAGGCCTACGAGTTCTAGGTGTATTGGCTGCATTTTGGAAGGTGCACTGGGCAGATGCCACAGAACCAAGAGGAACTTACTAAATCTTAGCTTCTCAAAGACACTGTCAGGTGTACCTGGGTGGCCTGGCAGTCACAGGAACTACACTCCACAACATTCTTCCTTCTCTCGCCTCAGCAAACACCTCCCACCAGGGCCTCCACACCACTGCTGTTTTAAAGGATGTATTTTTGAACCCACCGAATATTCAAAGGTCAAAATGAGTCCCTTTTTTGATAAGAGAGGGTCTAATCCCCCCTTTGAACACAAGAGGTCGCTCCTGGGACCAAATACTGGGGGAAATATTGCTAATCACTATTTGATATATTCTATAAATACATTACAGAAATTCTTTACAGATACATTTAATGCATTAAATGCACACATCAGCAAAGGAAATGGGACTAATCTGTGATTATACTGGAACTTCCAGGTGAAGGGAAACAATTAGTACCTGCTATCCAAACAGATTCTGATGCCAACTGTATCAGCAAGACACCACTCCAGAGCGAAACAACATAATCATCGGGTTCCCTCAAACTGCCCCCTTGGACAGGGGCAGCGTCTACTTAATCTTCACATCCATGGGCCTGGGAACTTGCTAGCAAAATACTTGTTTACAACACCAGTGGCTGCAGCAAGCAAAACACTGTCCTCCCTTTAGTATGACATTGCCCGGCACTAACGGTTTTCCTCCACAGGGCACGCCAGCTCCTGTTTGGAACTGCTCTCACCATCAGCAATATTCTTTGGCACAGTTCATTCGTTTAGGGAGTTACACCGCCGCACTGAGTGTGTAGCTGGTGGGAAGGAGGGCGCTTTGTGAATTTCAAATATGAGCCCTCAGGCTTCTGGCAGCTTCCGTGGTTCAATTCCACGGTATAAAGGCGGCATGATGGCATATGATCGGTTAAAATTCTGTTTACTTTCTGGTGTTACACTGGCATCTCTTTTATTTTCCTAGAGTCAACTTGGTTATCTACCCAGGAAACATGCCCCTATACTGGGAAGCCGGTGTCAGTTTTACAAAAGCAGCTGACAAAAGGCTCCAGGCAGAGACTAGAAATTATCACCCAAAACCAAAACCAAAAATCTGGTAAACTGATCAACCAATTTGTGCATCCGACTTTCTATAGCTCTCTTGCTCTCTCTCTCTCTCTCTCTCTCTCACGCTCACTCACACACACACACACACACACACACACTCACACACACGGACAGAACTCACAATGAAAATAAAAGAGATGGGATCCAGTTAGAGACCTTCATCGGGAGAAAAGAAAACACTACAAATGCATGTTTTTGAAAAAGCCTCGGCGAGGCCGGGCGGACACTCACGCATCTTGGCTTCTCCTGAGCTCAGGCAAACCCAGCCACCGAGGCGGGCTGGCGGCTGGCGGCTCTTATCAAGGGAGATCTGGGGAAAAGATACAAAGAAAGGAGTTTCCTCACCGCCGGCCTCGTTCTGGGCAACAAGACACCAAAATTACCCCATTCTACCGAGGCCTGAGTTTGTGGGCCTTTTCAGATAAACCTGGCAGCCACGTTAGATAAGGAATCACTATTTAGAAGCTTTAGGGGGAAGTGCGGGGGCTTCTGGAGGCGGGGAGGGAGACGGAAAGATGCCAGGAACGTGGAAGAATTTACTGGAACGGGTTCCCGGCGAGCTGCAGCCGGCATTCATTCCTCTCCAGGCTGTTTTCAGAGAGAGCATGAGGACATTCACGCCCGGTTAAGTGAAATTCGTATTTCACTGTTTTATCTTAGACCCCTCCCTACTCTCGCCCTTGGACTAATGCATTTTAGAAATCTCTAGAGAGACATGGGAATTTGTCTTTATAATGACCGAAACGCCACCAGCTAATTGTACACGTTTACTCAAAGACAAAGGGCAGGAGACCAGCAGAGAGAGAGAGAGAAACTGGGCAGGACATAACCTCTTCACAAACTCGAAACTACTGGGAGGCCATTTCGCTTGGGGCTCGTGTGAGCTTCCTAACTCCAGAGTGAAGCTGGCTCAGCAGCCGCCGCGGGGCGCGAGGGGAGAGAGTTCGCGGAGCCAAGTGGGTTTTACCTGCGCGCCTCCCACCAGATCCTCCGCTAAGGCCGGCGCGCTCCTGCCCTTCCACCCCGCGCGTTTGGCGATCGGGGCTCGGAGGGGACGGGGTCCCGAGGGAGCAGGAGCGAATAATTCCTCCGGGTGCGTTGATCCCACCCCCGGGCTTTCTTCCCCGAGTCAGCTCCCAGCGGGCCCGGCGGAGCCAGCTGGGGAACTCACCCTCCCGGGCAGCAAGGCGGGGCCAGGCCCGGAGCTGTGAGC